GAATCATCAGACGGAAGATCTTCCTCTCTGTCTCTTCTCCTCTCTGTATATCTGACTTTACAATAAAAAGGTAAATCTTTTAAAAAAAAAATACCTGAGGAATCATTCACATTAGTTTTCCTGATGTTAAATATTTATGGTTGCTAATTTTGTAGAAACGTGCCCGTCCTTGGCTAATTGTGTAAGAACTGTGTGCATGAGATCTCAGTGAGTCTCCGTTCCACCTGAGAACACTCTGCGGCACAAGGTAAGCCGAAGCCAACTGCTTCTGAAAGGTGACTTCCTAGTTACTATAAAGAGTGTGATGTGATGGGTTTGTTCACAATTTGACACTTGTAACAAACTGACCTCTACAAAAGAGTGACCTGTTGGAGCCACTCTTTCCTGGAGAGAGAAGAAAATCCTACATGTATTAAAGCTCTTTAACAGACCCAATGTGGTGGCATAGGAGACTAATCCTCCACCTGTGATGCCAGCATACTGTATGGGCACTGGTTTGTGTCCCGGCTGCTCCATTGCTGATCCAGCTCCCTGTTAATGGCATGGGACAGCAGTGGGAAAAGGCCCAAGTGCTTGAGCCCCTGCACCCATGAGGGAGACCCAAAGGAGACTCCTGGCTTCTGGCTTCTGATCAGCTCAGCTCTGGCCATTTGGGGAATGAATGGAAAAATCTGTGTGCCCCCTACCAACTCTTTCCAGTAAAACAAGCAAGTCTTAAAAAGAATTTAAGAGCTTTTTTTCATCTTTAAAATTCATTGGAAATCTCATTCATTTATTTGGAAGGCTGATTGACAAGAATACAGGTCAATCTCCCATCTGCTGATTCACTCCCCCACCCAAAGCCTGCCACAGCCAGGTGGGGAACCAGGCCAAGCCAGCCGCCAGAAACCCCGCAGGGCTCTCCCAGAGGGAGTGGCAGAACCCTGGCCTGGGCCACCATCTGCTATCCCTGGCAGGTTAGCAGGAAGGCAGACAAAAAGCAGAGGGGCGCCTGGACCCCAGGCACTCCAGTGTGGGAGGCAGGTATCTCAAGCAACTTGGCTTGCTGCACCTCAGCCAGCTGCTCTATCCCTGCTCAGCACCTTTCCTCCTGGACGTGGGAGCTCTCCCTCCCCCCAGAACTGACTTGTCCCGATCCATGCAGCAGTCCTGGCTTTCTGACAGGGAAAAGAGAAATAGGGACAATGTGGAAAAGTAGGCTACCTCCTGGGGACAAGAAGAGGAAGTTGCTGAACAACAACAAAAGCAAAAAATACCCAAGTGCAAACGTGAACCAGCCGGGCACTAACAACCACAAAAGGAAGACGCTACGAGGCTTCAGCTTTATGTGCAGCCCTAGAGAGAGAACGGCTGTCCCTCGCCCTCATGGCCACCTCGGAGCTCCTGCAAACTTCCAAGCACAAAACTGGTTAAAAGGAAGCTTATAGAACTGACCCAGCAATTGCAACCACCAGCTGATTGGGACGATGGACTGTGCCTGGCCCTGTGCTGGCAGGTACATACAAGAACCTGGTCTGGATTCACCTCAGACAAAGTTTCTTTAGGGATCCCCTCAATCGAAATGCTGGACTCAGATCCTCAACCATGAAAAGATAGAGGACAGAACAAATCAATCAATTACCCCAGCCATATGTTGGCAGTAAAAAACAGAGCAAACGGAGACTCTAAGATGGACTATGTCAATCAGTGGATTCTTCTGCGACCTCATCGTGCTTGGAGAGGCAAGACTAACAGCGATTCATAACTGGTGAAATATCAAAACCACTTGAGCAAAACCCTAAGAGCATGCTCCAAATCGGGGACCTGGGAGGGTGGGAGACTGGGTGGGGCTTCTAACTTAACTTTCCCCTTTACCCCAGATATAGAAAAAAATGTGTGTGGAAATGATAGTCTTACTCACTTTCCTGTAGCCCTTGAACATTTTTACCCTAATTAACTATGTAAAGATTGTCAAAAATATAAAAATGGGGAAAAAAGAAGGTTGTTTACTCAGTAAGACATTGGAGGGAAAGGCACTACGGTGCAGCAAGCCCAGTGGCCGCTTGGGGCGCCTGCATCCCACATTGGAGTTCAGCATTAGAAAGGAGAGGAGGAAAACAGACACGTGCTCATCCTTAAGCGCTGCTAGGGTCCCTCAAGGGTGCGCGAAGTGGGGTGCCTTGGGAGAGAAGCAGGACCCGGCACGCTTCCCGCCGGCAGGAGGAGCCCAAGAGCCCGGCGGGCCTGCCACTCCCTCCGCGCATGCGCCTGTTCCCGATGTGCCCGCCGCGGCCCGCGTGCGCCTGCGCGTCTAACCTGAAAGGGGGTGGGCGGGGCCAGGTCACGTGGTGGGCATTGCGGCATTTCTGGGCCAATCGGAGAGGCTTCGGACGGAGCCCGTGTGGAGCAGCTCGGGGATCCCCGGTCCTTCCGGCGTCTGGAAATTTTTTTTTTTTAATGTATTACTATTTATTCTTTGCTCTTGGCTTGTCGCTGCGCTCTTGACTTTAAGACTATGGCATGGCCGAAGTTTTGCCTTAGATCCTGGCAGTCACCAGAGTGGCACCCGCCAAAGCCATTTCCTTCAGAAGGCCGTGGCGTTTCTCTAGTTTCCCATCTTGCTCGCCTCTTCTGTTTGGAACGTTAGGATCGCTGGAGGCGATTAGGAAACAGGTGCACCTCAGGAAAGCGAGCTGGGTCCGCAGGGCTGAGGATGGCGGGCTCCACGAGGCAAAAGCCGCCGAGCACGCCCGCACTTCCCTGACCTCTAGAACATTCCCCAGAGCACCTTGTCAGCTTGCGCCTTTATGTAAAACGCCACGACCTGTTTATTCTCCTCTGCGGCCGAGCAATGGGATGGAAACCCAGGCCTTAGGAGAAACTGAAGGAGTGGGAGAAAGTAAAACGGATGCAGCTGAGTTCAGCAGCCCTGAGCCCTCCTATACGCGCTGCCTGTTACAGCCCTGGGCCCTTGCCCGGTTCCTACCCCACATCTCAACATAGGAGATAAAACTGATTTTTGGTGAAATGACCAAATATGGTTTAAAAAGAAGAAGAAGAAAACCTTAGCAATACCCTACTTAGAAAGCTTTGGCTAATTTCCTACAAAGAGTAAGTCGTTATTATAGAAATACGGTTGCTCTTAATTAGAATATCCTGAGAAAAACGCCCAAGGACAGAAGGGCTAGCCCCTAACAGCGCCGACTCGCAGGGTGGCCGCAAATGCTCTGTTTTGAGGTGGGAGTCCCGGTTCTTCACTGCCCCAAAAGACCACTCTACTTGTATAAAATAATTTACAAGTGTATAGTCCTTTTGAAGATCGCCTGGCGATAAATTCGTCCTGTAATTTCCATTTTGTGGCACAACCTGTTCCCTGTCAAGTTAGGCAATTCAAACAAGCGAGAAATACAAGTAGCTAGCTGCCTAGAGCGATGGTGCCCCTGCCAGCCTGCCAAACAGCCTGATGAGCGCACAAAGTGGCATGCAGTCAGGGCGCAGCAGCCACGCGCCGTCCATGCATCGCCCACAGCCAACAGGGGGTGTTTTCAGCAACTAGAAGAATAAGCTTGTCCTGAAGATACAGAACAAGCAATAAGCAACACTTCAGAGTGTTTGGGATCCATCTTCCTATGAATTGCTTCATCACCTAACACCTCTACCGTATTTATAGCACGGTTCCATCCTGTTCTTTAAACAAGATGGGAAAGACTTTATAGATTTCTTTAAAAACATAAAGCCAAACAAAAACTTTATTCTGACTGCAGTAGACAGCACCTTTAGCTGAAAATATTTCAGGATTTTCCATCTCTCCAGAAGGAATCTTAATTAAGATAGCTTTTCAATATTTAACAATAAAGCAATCATGAAAGCATCACTTGGTGTCTTAGCCCTTCCTAACCTTTTCAAAACAGGTATTTGCCAGTTATTTACAAATGAAACATTTAAAAATGGTTCCAAGCTTGATTTACTCAAGGTAAACATGAAAGAATTGTGGTACTTGGATTTGTACTATCAAGACTAAGATAAGGGCCCTGTGCAGTAGCAAAGCAGCTAAAGTTCTCACCTTGCATGCACAAGGATCCCATACGGCCACCAGTTCTAATCCTGGCAGCCCTGCTTCCCATCCAGCTCCCGGCTTGTGGCCTGGGAAAGCAGTCAAGAACGGCCTAAAGCCTTGGGACCCTGTACCGTGTGGGAGACCTGGAAGAGACCTCAGGCTGCTGGCTTCAGATTGGCTCAGCTCCAGCCCTTGCAGCCACTTAGGGAGTGAATCATCGGATGGAGGATCTTCCCGTCTCTCCTCCTCCCTGCATATCTGACTTGGCAATAAAAATAAATAAATCTTAAATACTATGTAGAATGAAGACTTCAAATTCATTTTAGAAAAATCATTGCTATATGGTTTTATAAGAATTTACCTACAAAGGATAATTCAACTGTTACATTCCAAATTAAAATATGAAAAGTGCTAGTTCAATTTCCAACTATAAAAGGAAAATTAAGAGATCCAGAATTTTTAGGTTTAAGTTAATAAAGGAGATGATGAGTTAAAACTATTAACTTACAATGCCTCCCCCCACATGCAGACTTGCAATTCATTGATGTTTTTGAAAGATCTTCTTTGGGCCAGGTGCAATGGCTCAATTAGCTAATCACCCCTTGCAAGCACCAGGACCCCAGATGGGCACCGGGTGACCTGCCCCAGTGGCCCCACTCCCCATCCAGCTCCCTGCTTGTGGCCTGGAAAAGCAGTCGAGGATGGCCCAAGGCCTTGGGACCCTGCACCTGTTTGGAATACCCAGAAGCTCCTGGCTCCTGGCTTTGCATCAGCTCGACTCCAGTGGTTGCAGCCTCTTGGGGAGTGAACCAGCTGAACCAGCTGTCTTTCATCTTCTCTGTAATCTACGTTTCCAATAAAAACAAATTTTAAAAAGGAAGTTTTTGGACTGTCATCTTAAATAAAAAGTAAAGGCCTTCATTGCACTGTTACACAAGTGAATGTCATACGCTAGAACTAATCATTATAACAAATCTTCAGTTTATTTGAAGCAATTCAGTTTCAAAAACTTACAAGTTACAGCAGTCACAGAAAAAAAGGGGAAGTCAAACAATAACAGAGTGATCAAGATACTGTATTTTGTCTGTTTTTAACACTGTCATGGCTTTATTCAAAACACAGTTGCACAAAAGTATTAAAGTTTTTAAGGAGAGAGTCTTGAGGAAATTAGCACACTATCTACAGACTGCCATACAAAGAGCATTCAAGTAGGATTCAAAACATCTACAAGATATAAAACCCCCCCTCACTTATGTGCATGAAAATACCACCCACAAAACCAAGGAAGTCTTAAAAGTCATCTGGAGGCTCGAAGTGTTGTTTTCAAACCAAGGAACTCTTCATTTTGATTGCACAACATAGTGACTTATAAGAAAGTCAATATATAGATTTCATTTTAAAAATAAGTATTTTATCATCTGGCATAGTACGCAATGAAAATTCTTAGGGACTAAAACAGGGCATTTCAACTCTTAAAAATAGGAGGAAAATGTTCGACTTTTGGAAGATTCCAATCCCCCCACTGAACTTACCCCAAGGGTCTCATTTCAGTCATTTGTGCAACTTCTTTAGTTCTCCACAAATTACTTTTACTTTAAAATTCAATGCATACATTTTAGCAACTAGTAAAGCAGCAGAAATACTACACCTAGTTAACGTGTTCCACTATGAAAGCATAACTTGAATTAATATGCTGACACTTTTTAAAAACTTACAAAATACTTGAAGTTTTAGAGAGCTGACACTAAAGCAATTGGCTTGAACATGGAGCTTCATGACAGAGGATAATGTACTTGGGTACTCATTAAGTTTCATTTAGTAGCCATAAGGAAACACACACACACATATCCCAAATGGTTTGTATTTTTAATGGACATCCACTTAAAAGCAAATCGTAATTTTAGTATCAATTTAGTTTCAAATATTTTTCCAGACACCTAGTATATTTCAATTAAAGGAAATATCCATAACGCTTTAAAACTACAGGAAAAATAGATTCTACTCAGAAAAAAACTATCAATACTTTGCAGAGTGCAAAATATTTGATAAGTCAAATCAAAAATTTGACTTGAATATCTCAGAATTATTAAACAGGTAATTTGCTGACTGTGAAGAACACACACGCAGCTTCCAAAGGCCTCCTCTGCGGTTCTTCTTTCTTCAACTTCCTCGCACGAACCTCACCTGTTCTCGATCAAGAAACGCAGTCCCATCTGGTGTCAACCGAGAAAGGCTGGGGGTGAACAGCACTTGTTGCATAAAATCATGTCAATAATATTACCTGTGCCCCAGAAAAGAGTCAATTTCTTTCCCTTTGCTTGTTTAAAACTCAGGTCTGAAAAGGGAGGTGAGGTATAAAACTAAAGGTTTTCCTGGGTATCTACCTCCACAAGTCTCCTACTCTGCGATAAAGAGAGGGGAGTGAAACAATGAGAGAAGGTGATCATAAAGGAATTGCTAAGAAAAAAGAATGCACACCTAAGAAACAACAAAAGAAGCGAGCGTTGGCATGTCACGATCTGCAGTCTGAATGAAGGCGCCTGCAGGTCTCTAGGTTTAGTCTAAGCAACTTTCCAAAGATAAAATATTATCGGCCACAAGAAAACCCATGAACTACGTTATTGAATAGAACTGCCACACAACCCGTGAACACAACTGCTGAACAGAACCTTTACAATTCTGCTTGTTTGCTTATTCCTGTGACCCGTCCCCCGGAAGAAAAGCACCCAAATATCCTTAGTCCAAATACACACCATTTCCTTCAAGTAGAGATCTCTGGATCACCCCTGTAAAAAGACAACCAACATATTCAAGCAACTACTGTTATTTCATATCACAATGGACTGTAATCTTAGTTAATTTATAAATAACCTTAAAACCACATGAATGAAATGCAGCAAACTACACCTGTGTAAAAGCGATCATGTTTTAATTATGAGCTAAACAAGACTAATACATTGAGCCTGAATTAGAAAACTGAATTCTAAATAAATTCTAGGAATTCGCACAACGGAAAACAATGGCAAGGATTCTCTACATACAGTATGATCATTAGCAGACTAGTAACTCTTACTTGGAATGATAAGGCAAAAATAGTAAAACCAAACTTCTATAAAAAGTTACACATTCTCTTCTGAAGGGACAGCTATTATACACAGAGAAACGAGGAAGAGGTGATCACTCCATTGCACACCAGCAACAGCAGGCCTCTGGTCTCAGGAGGACCTAGTCATCTTCCTCGCCTTCATCTTCAGCATCTCGTTTCCTCTTCTCCCCTCGAAGACTTTCTTCTTCTGAAAGAGGAGTGACAGGAAAAGTGTCAAAAACAGAATTTTAACGGGTGAATGTATGTCAAAAGCTTTGAATCTCATTGAAAAGTTAAGGGCAGAAAAAAATTACACGCTTTTCTCTGAATTTCTCTCCATTTCAGTATGTTGAATACTTTAAAACTCGTAAGTAATAACAGCTTGTTATGCACCCTTGTGGCCAAATCATGAAGTACAGATCAAGAATCTTAAAAGCTTCGCATCACTGGAATAGTCAGGAAATTGTAAAGGTTATTTTGAATCGAGTGCACTCAATAAAGACTGCCAGAGTGACTCTGCAAAAGGGACTACCTGGAGCTCAACTGTTCCTCGTCCCAGATAAAGCCACACCCCTTCCAAAACGGGAGGGCCTAAAAATTATTGTAAAAATAGTAAAATAATAAATTATTTTGGCATTCTTATTTTTTGAAGAAATTTATTTTTATTGGAAAATCAGATTTACATAAAGAAGGAGAGACAGAGAAATCTTCCACCCATTGGTTCACTCCCCCAAGCGGCTGCAACGGCCGGAGCTGTCCCAATCCAAAGCCAAGAACGTTTTCCGGGTCTCTCATGCGGGTGTAGAGTCCTAAGTTTTTGGACCATCCTCTACTGCTTTCCCAGGCCACAAGCATGGGGCTGGATGGGAAATGGAACAGCCAGGATTAGAAGCAGTGCCAATATGGGATCCCGATGGTTGCAAGCCAAGGACTTTAGCTCTTAAAGGCCAGACCCAGCTGTTTGGTTTCGTTAAGTGATAAATGGACATCCTAAGATAATTATGCTTTAAGAATAATTTCAGGGCCTGCCAAGGTGGCTCAGTGCTTTCCAGGCACTGGAATATCATGAGGCGCCAGTTTGTATCCTGGCTGCCCCACTTCCCAAACAGCTCCCTACTTGCGTCCTGGGAAAGCAATAAAGGATGGCCCAAAGCCTTGGAACCTTGCACCAGTGTAGGAAACCAAGAAAAAACTCCTGTCTCCTGCCTTTGGATCAGCTCAGCTCTGGTTGTTGTGGTCACTTGGGGAGTGAACCAGCAGATAGAAGATCTTTCTCTCTGTCTCTCCTTTTCTCTGTAAACCTACCTTCCCAATAAAAATAAATTAATTTTAAGAAAAAATTAATTCCAAAAGTTTCAAGGCACTCTATGATCAACACAGCAAAATTGAAAAGATCAGAAATGATTTACACTATAATCTCTGAACTCTGTGAAAAAAACAGGTGAGATATCAGTAACTTTAGAAATTGTCTAAGCCTAATATACCATAACTCACCCTCATCTTCCTCTTCTTCTCCTTCAACATAGTCATCATCGTCTTCTTCATCCTGGAAATTCAAATGTTTAGTTTGAGAATAAACCATAATACAGAATTTTTGTCATTTGTTTTAATACATTTCAACAAGAGCAGAGAAACTATGTCATTCTATATTTTGACAATCTCTGCAAATCCCTAGTTTTTTCATGAAAATAAGTTATGCTTTGGAGGTGTACTATTCAAAAGAACTTTCCGCAACAATGGAAATGTGCACAGTGGTGTGCAATGCAGCAAGCACCAGCCACACACCCACTGAGCATCTGAAAGGTAACCAGTGCAAATGAGGAACTGAATTTTTAGCTTTACTTAATTTCAATTCATTTAAATAGCCATATAAACCTATTAGCTACCATAATGGACAGAACAACTTTTGAATGTTTTAAAAATAGGGTCTTCTATTTTACGGATGGAAGCAGAGTGAATTCTTGATCTCAGTTTTCTGTCAGTAAAAGTAAGCTACAGGTAGAACATCCCTAATCTAAAAACCCAAAATCCTAAAGTTTTTGAATGCCAACATCATGTGACAAGCGGAGAATTCTATAGTTGAACTCATATACAGGTTGCCATCAAAATACAGAATACATTATGAACACTATGGTAAATTACCTTCATATTACATGTACAAGATAGCTATGAGCTATAAAATAATCTCAGGGCTAGATTTAAATCCCATACCCGAGATCTCATGTATATGCAAATATTCTAAAACAGAAATTCTAAACACTTCTGGCCGAAGCACTTGGGATACTCAATCTGTTTTAATTTAGCAAGATCTGTAAGCTCCTTTTACATCTATAACTCTACAAAATAATAAAACCACCATAAAATGTTACCTGTAATTCTTAGGGAATGAGATTAAACATAGCTAGGGTTGAGTTGAAGCATCCTAATCACTTTTTAAACTCTGGTCAGTCATGATACAAATCTAAAGTATACTGCACATTATAGTTTAGTTTACATCTTTTTCTCAAATCATCATGTTCACCTTTTTTATGGTTACCATTTAAATAAGAACATTGTGCCAACTAACATATGTCAATACCCTCAGATCCTCTTAACACATGTAGGATGGTTTTCTCCCTTTTAAAATGACTCTGGACTCTGAGTAACTAGTTTGTATTCCTTCTCTTTTCCAGTTAGTTCCTATTTCAATTTTAATCTGTGATAAAAGAGAAAATGGGTTTAGCATAAACACTCTCCTACAGATAGATGTCTCTTGTTAGATTTTGTCAGCTTGGAGCTCTTTTACACTTCCTAGCTGATTCTTGGCCATGTCCCAAATAGCTGAGTCCCAGATAGATGGCTTGCTACTATACGTTTGAACAAAACTAAAGCAATCTAGGATCTTCCTTTTCATGCCACAAAATTTCACTTCTCTTCAGAAATATTCCAACCAACTGATAAAGGTTTAGAACCACTGAGGAATTAGGGAAAGCTTGGATAATCCCTTCACACAATTTCTACATCCCATTTGTGTCCAGAAACAATAAACAGAACAAAGCTTCCCAGCACTAGGCAAGAAGCCTCTGGGAAACTGCACTACACCACCCTTCGGCCAGCAAGCACGCTCACACAGCGAACTACAACACTACAAAGTCCTGTCACACCAGGGTCCCAGCAGAGGACAGGAGCAGAAGGGACAGAATAGCAAAACACTTCAAAAGGATCACAATAAAAACCAAAAGAGCTGAGGCTGGCATGGTAGCAAAGAGACAGGACCACCTCCTGACTTCTGGCTTCCGCCTGATCCAGCCTTGGCTGTCCTGGACATGTAGGGAGTGAACCAGCAAGTGAAAGATTCTCTCTCCACCCTTCCCTCCCATGACCCCCAACACTGCCTTCTACACAAATAACTCTTTAAAAGACAAATAATAATAATAATAAGTACCTTCAGGCTTAAACACAGAGAAACCAAGAAAAGGAAGGAAGAGAAAGAGTGATGGGCAGCAGTTCATATTGTTGCTCCACTGCTCATCCAGCACTCTGACTGTGGCCTGGAAAAGCAGCGGAGGACAACCCAAGGCCTGAAGATCCAACACCCAGGCCCAGTGCAGTAGCCTAGTGGCCAGAATCCTTGCCTTGCATACGCCAGGGTCCCATATTGGTGCCGGTTTGTGCCCCATCGGCCCCACATCCCATCCAGCTCCCTGCTTGTGGTCTGGGAAAGCAGTCGAGGACGGCCCAAAGCCTTGGGACCCTGCACCCATGTGGGAGACCCAGAAGAGGCTCCTGGCTTCAGCTAGGCTCAGCTCCAGCTGTTGTGGCCACTTGGGAAGTGAATCAGCAGATGGGAGATTTTTCTTTCTCTGCTTCTCTCTAAAAATCTGCCTTCCAATAAAAATAAATAAATCTTTAAAAAAAATAGTACAAAAAAAAACAGTGATCAGTGATCTAATCAATGTAAAGATCATTAGGAGAATAATGCTAACAATGTATAGTATAAATTAAGAATGCTTTTAAGTACTGAAAAAAATTAATTATGAATTAGGACAATAGACCTCAATTTAACATCAGGAGGAAAGAATTTCTCTGAATCCTCTAATTATTTGTTCCATGGGCCATAGCTGATGTGTGAAGATGAGGTGTGAGAGCGATGTGCCCTTCCCCCCCAGGCTCACTGTGCGGTGCAAAGTAGACAAACAAGGTCTGACAAGTTCTTAACACCAGGGCCTACCAGCACCAGCATCCCAAGCCAGGTCTGGGAGGAACAAACCTTTAGGAAGCTACAGGAGTGTCCAGAGCATTACCCTAGTGGCTAAAGTCCTTGCCTTGCCTGCGCCAGGATCTCCTATGATCACCAGTTCTAATCCTGACAGCCCCTCTTCCCCTCCAGCTCCCTGTCAAGGACGGACCAAAACCTTGGGACCCTGCACCGGTGTGGGAGACCTGGAAGAAACTCCTAGCTTTGGATTAGCTCAGCTCCAGCTGTTGCAGCCACTTGAGGAGTTAATCAATGGACAGGAGATCTTCCTCTCTGTCTCTCCTCCTCTCTGCATATCTGACTTTACAATAAAAATAAATAAATCTTGGGCCTGGCGGTGTGGCCTAGTGGCTAAGGGCCTGGCCTTGAATGCACCAGGATCCCATATGGTTGCCGGTTCTAATTCCCGGCAGCTCCATTTCCTCTCTGTCTCTCCTCCTCTCTGTATATCTGACTTTGTAATAAAAATAAATAAATCTTATTTTAAAATAAATAAATAAATAAATAAATCTTGTAAAAAAAAAAAGTTCCAGGAAGCTTCAACCGTGAGGCAACGCCAGAGCTACGTTTATGAATAGTTCACAAGAGTGGGACATAGATACACATACATAAAATCCCACAAGGTTGTACTTCTGTTTGCCACAGCAAAAACGAAAATAAAAGCCCACAGAGAGCAGGGGGAAAGTCATTTTAGATAAAAGCAAACAATGTATACACAAACACACAAACACAAGGATAGCCTGACGTCATGATGTTGTTTAGTACCGAGAAATCAGGTCAGTGGAGGAAGCAGGAGCCAGATAATCAAGAGCCTGGAATGTCAGGGGCTCAGAGAAAGGAAATGGTTTCAGGAGGCCAGTGTTGGGACCCTGTTTGTCTCAGCTCCCAGGCTGCACTCCAGGGAAGTCAGAGCACTGACACTGTGCTACGAGACCAAGGAGCAGGCTGCCACCGCTCTGCCGGTTCTCTGCAAAGTGCCAGGGACTGGGTACTTTCACCTTGCTAAATCCTAACAATTTGATGAGGCTGCTACCACCTCAGTTTTACAAACACAGAAACTCGGGCACCGGGATGGGATACAATCTCTCCACTTTGAAAGTTACCTGAGGGGTAAAATCACTAAGCGTTGGCGATTACCTGGGAGACAACGCAGTAAGACAGGCAGACAGAAACAGCTCCCACATTGGGCAGAACCCACTTCGATGGTGCTTGGCTCTATGCCTAAGTAGTTCATTTCCAAGGGACATTTGAAGCATGTATTCACCTGAATCTCGTCTTTCAGCAAGTAGGAGAGGCCCACTTCTTCTTCTCCCTCTCCTACTTCTGAGCCTGCTTCATCTTCATCCTCATCCTCATCCTCCTCTTCTTCATCCTCCTCTTCCTCAAATCCTTCAGGGGGACCAGCTTCATCTTCTTCCTCATCATCATCTTCATCACCATCTTTGAAAATATTATTGAAGATAAACAACTAGGCAAATGTTTCTGGCTTGAATGTTGATCCTATTTGCCTAATTACTTCAAATCCTAAGCCTATGGATGAAAGATTCCCTCAGGCTGATTTTTTTTTTTTCTTTTTAGTTTCTATTTTGCATCACAGCTATTCACTAATGAAGTGCAGTTTCTAAACCATCAAGTTCCATGTGGAGATTTTCACCAAAACATCACATGCGGGCCCAGCGCCATGGCCTAGCGGCTAAAGTCCTCGCCCTTAACGCGCTGGGATCCCATATGGACACCGGTTCTAATCCTGGCAGCTCCACTTCCCATCCAGCTCCCTGCTTGTGGCCTGGGAAAGCAGTCAAGGACGGCCCAAGGCCTTGGAACCCTGCACCTGCATGGGAGACCTGGAGGAGGTTCCTGGCTCCTGGATCTGGATTAGTGCAGCACTGGCCATTGAGGTCACTTGGGGAGTGAATCACTGGACAGAAAATCTGCCTCTCTGTCTCTCTTCCACTATGTATATCTGACTTTCCAAAAATAATAATAATAAATCTTAAAAAAAAAAATCACATGCACTAGTTTGTTCCAGTTTCAGGGAACTTTAAAATTAACATGATTTGAAATTCCATGAGGTTTTAGGTCTGTATAATCCTGTGTGACCATCACTGGGTAAAAGTGGCAGCTTCCTATGCGGTAACTGCAACTCCTCCCGGGTACCGGGACACGAGGAAAGTCCTGAGTGTTTCCCCCTTTGTCTCTCCCCTTCCCCCAGGAACAACAAGAAATAGCAAATTTGGAAGTAATGAGTTCACCCAATTTTCCCTAAATCTCGATCCTTCCCACCCTGATCAACCATGTAATCATTATAAAAACAAACACTGCAACTCTATCATTCTATCATTTTCAAACATTGTTTAGCCAATATTTTTTTACAGTAAAAGATCTTTTCACCTGAGATTAACCACCAGTGTCCCATTATTAACAAGTTACTTATTCATCAAATTTGCTAGTTATCCATTTCCCCAAAAATGTACATTCACTACCTAATTCTAGAATATTCTTCAGCACCTCCAGAAGAATTCCTATCCGCATTACCAGTCCCTGGTCGGTCTTCTCTCAGACCTCAGCAACTCCTCACTTGCCCTTTGTCTCTCTGGATTTGCCTATTTTGTACTTTTCATATAAATGAAATCAAGCTGTGCGCTGCCTTTTGTCTGGTTTCTTTCACATGCAGAATGCTGTCAAGGGTCACCCAGGCTGCTCCCATCAGCACTTGCCCTGTCTCCGCGCTACCGAGAGCCACCACTTGATCCAGTCACCAGCTGACGCGCACCTGGCTTCTTCCCGCTTTCCGGTTTCATTTCTCAGGACGGACCACATAGGAAGCTGCCACTTCTACCCAGTGATGGTCACACAGGTTTATACAGACCTAAAACCTCATGGAATTTCAAATTATGTTAATTTTTAAGTTCCCTGAAACTGGATATCTGAAAGGAGAAATAAAGGCTAGAGTGGGGGAGGCAGGGGGAGAAAGAATGTTGGTCTCACTAGTATCTCGGGTTGACTTTTCACAACTAACTCTCCAGGCCGAGTCTAACCTGCTAGGCTGCGGGGGACGCCGTAAGTACAGCTCGTCGGTGGGCACACAGGCAGCTTACCTTCATCGTCGTCCTCTTCAGAGTCCGGGGCCTCGTTATCCTCCTGATCAAACCCATCCAAGTATGTGATTTGCTGCAGCAGTTCAAAAATACTTCCTCTGTAATCTTCCAGGTTTGTGATCTCACAGTTAAACAAGTCCAGACTTTTCAAATTTTTAAGATTTTGCTGCAAAAGTAAAGTTAAAACTGACATTCAAGCTTTAAAAAAAAAAATGCCACATTATTCCTTCTAAATTCACAAAACATATTCAAAGCTGAGAAAGTGATTTTTGAATGTTTAGATTATAAGAGGTTATTACATACAGCACAGCCCAACCCTCTTCATTAAGCCCTGGCACATACAAGTCACAGGATCAAAACTTTGTGCAACTGACTGGAGCACCTGAGTGTCCTACTATAGCAGGCAACGCATTTTCGTTGACTCAATCTGGGCATAAAGAGGCAACAACAATATCCTGGTCAATTTAAATCTACAGATAAAGTTATTTTCAGTAATTTCAACCTCTCCCCAGCCTTTGATTTTATAAGAGCAACAATTTTCAGCTTCACTTCATCTTACCATACCAGGAAGCAAAAGGACAAATAATAAAATGAAAAACTACTTGCTGCAGCCCTATTTCAAAATCAAAGATGGCTTCCCAAACTGGTAAATATATATTTGACAGTAGGATGCTGGACTGCCTACCACTATCTACATCTACAATGTCAGGATATACTTAAACGGCAGCATGATGCACTTACGACTGCTTTTGAAGGACTATATTACTGTAATAATATAGGGGCAATCAATAGAGGGAGGAGATTTGGGGGTCGGGGAGGGGAATCCCAGAGGCTAAGGAACTGTACCATAAAATACTTAATTTAAAAAAAACTGTTTTTTGGGCCCGGCGCGATGGTGCAGTGGTTAAGGTCCTCGCCTTGCACGCCCAGGATCCCATATGGGCGCCGGTTCTAATCCCGGCAGCCCCTCTTCCCATCCAGCTCCCTGCTTGTGGCCCAGGAAGGCAGTCAAGGACGGCCCAAAGCCTTGGGACCCTGCATCCGTGTGGGAGACCCAGAAGAGGCTCCTGGCTTCGGATTGGCTCAGCTCCAGCTGTTGCGGCCACCTTGGGAGTGAATCATTGGATGGAAGATCTTCCTCTCCGTCTCTCCTCTCTGTATATCCGCTTTTCCAATAAAAATAAAATAAATCTTTGAAATAAATAAATAAAATTGTTTTAAAGTACTTGAAACTGGAAACTAAAACTTAAGCTGAGGCAGAAATAAATTTCTCATTGATTCGAAAATTCACCTAGGAGTAGGCATTTAGCCTAGCAGCAAAGACTCCCCCTAGGCGACCTGAGCCCCACAGCAGAGCACCTGAATTTGAGTTCCAGCTCCAGGTCCTGCCAACAGAGGCAGCAGGGGGGCGGCTCAAGCCACCAGCACAGGAGATCCCCCCCCCCATAGGAGATTCTCCCCCCACTCCCCCACAGGAGATTCCCCTCCACCTCCGCATAGGAGATCCCCCGCACAGGAGATCCGGCACAGGATGAGTGCCTGGCTAACAGCTCCAGCCCAGCCCTAGCCTCTGCCTCTGGGGAGTAAACCAGCAGATGCCATCCCTCTATCTCTCACTCTCTCAATGTATATAAATAAAACTTAAAAGCTTTATTTATTTATTTGGAAGGAACACAGAGAGGGAAAGACAGGAGCTCAATCTTCCCTCTACTGGTTCACGCCCCACATGGCCACAACAGCACAGCTGGCCCAAGCAGATCCAGGAGCCAGGAACTCCTCAGACCACGCACCAGAGTGGCAAGGGCCCGGGCACACCAACAGGGACCTGCATAGAGGGACAGCCAGGACTCAGCATCACGTGCAGCGGCTTAACCAGCTAGCCTACAAAACTAGTCCCTAAGTAAATTTTTTAAAATAAAATTTATTTTACTGTAAAGGAAATCAGTGGCCATCTATATCACAACATACATGAAATTCAGAAGTTTCAAGAGTTCAAGAGATGTTAAAACGCTAATACATCTCAGAAAATGTCAACAAAAAAAGGCAAATGCACAGACAAAACTTTTCACTCACCAGAGCTTCAACTGTACTTAGATCTTTGATTTTGTTTCCACTCAAATTGAGGTAGGTCAGATTTGGGCATTTCTCTGCCAGCACCTCCAGGCCTCCAGAAATTATGTTGTCGCTGAGTTCCAACTATATTTTCAACACAGAGAGAAAGAGGAGGTTGGATGAGAGCTGAGAGCAGATCAAAGATTTTAAATGTATACCAATCTGAAGAAAACTTTTGGCATCCTCTGCAGCTTCAGATCCTTATCCCAGCACATTATTAATTGCTACATTCCCGTCTCCTGCTGCCCACCAGTCCATGACCACACCTACAGAATGGGGTCCTAACCGCTTTGCTCCCAGCTGTGTGCCACTTGGATTTTAGGCCTCAGAGAAAAATAGTTGATAATAGTCAATCCAAACTTGTATCATAAAACAACGCTATTAAATTCAAACTTTTAATTGCAATATTATGGCCTATTGCAAAATTCTGTAACTCTTTGTTTTCTTTAGAATCTTAAAAACAAGTTAACAGGCAGCAGAGGCCTTCCATTTGGATCAAAAACTAGAACATAATAGTCAACGGTGTTCAAGTCATGCTTTCACGCAAGTTCCAACTTACCTTCCGAAGTTTATTTAAACTGGGCAGCTGAGCCAAGGAACTGAGTTCCACATTAGCCATACTCAGAAACTCCAGTTCTTTAAAAGTGTCATTCAGGCCTTCAATTTCCCCATTGACACACAGGCAATTATCAAGCACCAGCTCCGTCACCTGCAAGAAGGAGTACATGGGTTTACAGTCTGTTTAGCAACAGACCTGGGTCTTGACACTTGGGAATTGTGAATATTGTGCTTGCTTCGGCAGCACATATACTAAAATTGGGAACTATGAATATTAAAAACATCAATCTGCTCACACAGACCCTTTCACTTCCCCACCCCTGTCAAAAAAAACTGCAGCACAGTTTACAGTCTTCACTATAAGCACTCTTTTAAGCTTAAACTGCGACTAAGAAGTTCAAGACCTGCTTTAAATTACTAAAGCATAAAACAAAAACTTTGGAGACCACTGGTATGGTGTAGTAGGCGAAGCCTCCAGCTGAGGCGCTGGCAATTCATATAGGGCTCCGATTCAAGGCCAGCTACTATACTTGCAATCCAGCTCCCTGCTTATGGCTTGGAAAAACAGCAGAGAATGGTTCAAGTCTATGGGACCCTGCACCCATGTGGGAGACGGAGAGAAAATTCCTGGTTCCTGGCTCTAGCCTGGCCCAGCTCCAGCTCTTGCAGCCATTTGGGGAGTGAACAAAATTCTGTATATGTGTGCGCCTTCCTCTAATAGTGTAACTCTAAAAGATAAATCTTTAAAAAAAAAAAAAAAAACTTTCAAAAAGTTCCATAAGAAACCCATTTCTGTTCCAGATGAGGGGGACCATCAATATCAGCATAAATCTATGCAACAAAGAGGGAAAGTTCCCCAGCTACTTCCCAGGAAAGGTTCAAACCCTAAACCTAGGGAGAAGATGGGAAATTGTTCTATTATATTCTATAGTTTAAACCTCCTTATTTTAATTGATAAATGCATCACAGTGAACTTAAATATATATAATATATTATATAATATATAAATAAATATAAATATAATTAATTATATATATATACATATATATTATCCTTCTTAAACATTGGCAAACTCCTTCTGTTCTAACACAGGGGCTAATCTCTAACCCCCAGGATACATCCCTGAGAAAATGTTATTGTTCCCACCCACCAGGCGGTATAGCCTTTCTCCCATTCCCAGGGAAGCAGGCAGGGTTTCCTATTAGGTGAGCGTTGTAGTAACACAACTCCCTGCTGGGAGCCTGAAAGGAGTACATCTTGAGGAGGAAGGCAGAAAAGCCACCTCTATTTGCAGATTGCAGTCAGTGGAGAAGGGCTCCGTGACCTTCCACTTCAAGATGCGAAAAACCAAGGCCCAAAGGGCGAGAATCTGGCCGAGAAGGATGTCCCAGGGGAACACCTTCTAGTAGGTGGCCGAGCTGTGTTCGCACCCTGTGAAGTTGTCTAACTCCCAGGGGTGGTCGGGTGCTGAGAGAGCTGGGTGTCAGAAAACCAGTTCTTCCAGCGGGAGACTAAATCGCTTCACTACCCTCGGGGATTCCATGTGTTGTTACTCTGAATTCTAGAACAATACATTCCACCAGCCACGTTCGTCCGCGGAGGAAAAGTCAAGAGAGGCGGCCACAACTCGGTAAACCGTGTTCACAAAAATGACTGAGAGACCGTTAGCAGAGCGCAGTGTCCGCGGAAGCCGGCGACCCTGCGGGGGTGGGACTCGCCCAGGTGAAAGAATGCGGGGAGACTCATTCATCTCTCCACCCCCTCATCAAAAAGCATCCTAAATGTGTGTTTCTGAGAGGCAACTTTTCAACTTCGATTTCTTTCCTTACTTTTTTCCCCCCCCTCACGCCTCTAAGAATAAATTCCAGAAAACATCACATTTCCTCTGGGGTGACCCCGATCGCAGCCACCGTTTCCTCTCCCCCCACCCCGCCTCCGCCGCCACCGTCTCCTGCCAATTTCAGGCAGGCAGAGACTTAAAAAGAACCACAATAAACACACACACACCCCAAAAAGATCTTGAGTCCCCCACTGCACAAAATGCCCAGACCAGGCACCGCCCGGGGTGGGGGGGTGGGGACAACTCGTGCAGCCCCACACGGAGGTCGCCCGGAGCCCGCCTCCCCCCACGCGAGGGCCGAGGCCCGCAGGGGGCCAGCGACCCCCAGGGCCAAGGCTGCCCACCTCGGCGGGCCCACGGCCTCGTCTCGCGACCCGCGCCGCCCACACGCTGGAAACTCCAACGGCGCGGGGACTCCCCAAGGAGAAAAAAATATAAGATAAAATAAAACGAGGGTTCGCCTCCCAGCGGCCGGCTCCCCTCACGCCGCCGCGCCGCGCCGGGAAGGTTGGGTGAGGCCGAGGAGACGCCCGCGAAAAGGAGGCGGAAACGCCTCCCGCCCGAACCCCCCGAAAAGTTGACCGCGACCCCGCCTCGCGTGGCCCCTCCCAAGCCCGTCTCTTTAACTGAGGCGACGGCGGCAGGGCGCATCACTGAGCTTCGCCGAACCCGGCTCGCGAGCGCACAACTACGACGACCCATTTGTGGAGTTCTGGGAAACCGTCTCCAGGGGATCGAATTCGGAGTCAGGCCACCAGCACCAGACACGCAGAACAGTCTCGCCACGGCGGGGGAGACGACGAGCGGATTACGCCTCACGTCCCCTCCCCACCTCGGGCCACGGCGACCAGTCCCCCCAAACTCGCCCGCGGTCCGAGAGTCCGCCGCTGACCCAGTTTCCGCCGAGGGACGGTCAGCGCGCGCCCCGCTTTCCCCGGGGCTGCCATGGGCGCCGCCGGCGACCCCAGCCCGCCGCGCCGACGTCCCCCAGGGCCGGAGGCCCGCGAAGCCCACCCCAACCACCACCCCTCAAAAACAAAAACAACAACAAAAAGCCGAGTTGGCAACGCTGCACAAAAGTTGGACTAACTTCTCAGGCGACGGCTGGCAGCAGGGATGAGTGGGACCGGGGGGTCGCGCCCACGCCGCCGGCCCCCGGGACGAGCAGCCAGGGCTGGCGAAGCGGCGGGGCGCCCCCGCCAGCCTCCCTGCCCACCCCACGAGGCCAGGACGCCCGGCTCGAGGACAGCCGAAAGGGGCTAAACCCCCGTGCACACACAAAAACGCCCCCTAGAAACTTAAACCCTTCGCCATTTTAAGTGGAAGGTTTTAATGATTCAAAAACTTAAAATGAGCCATTTCCCCCAGCCTCAGACCCGCGAAAGGATTCGATCGCCACCCTCTTCACGCCCCCACCACGACCCCCCAGGAATCCCATCCTCCCAATACAGGACTGGTGGGCAAGGGGTGGGGGCTGAGTCATCTCACCTCCTCCGGGGCTCGGTTCCTTAACTCCAGGTTAATCCTCTTCTTCATCTCCATGTCCTCCTGCTCTTCTGCCCCTACTCTCCTCCCTTGCCCTTTATTGCGCTTCCCACTACCCCCAACCCTAAAAAATTTTAAAGATTTGGAAATGAATGAAAAGAAATGCAAATATAAACGCCTACTATCACCAGTTAGGTGTGAAGGAGAAAGAATAGCAAATGGAGTCCAAGGAGTTGGGACTCTAACTCAGCTGCCCCCACCTCCTTGTCCACACACCCGCGCGCGCACACACACGCACGCACACATACACACACATACACACACACTCGGAGCCGCAGTTGCTTCCCCTTCAATGGCTGCTCAGAGACTGAACCTCCATGACACGGCACCGCCAACCCCCTGGCCTACACTCCTCCCACCTCCCGAACGTATTGGTTGAGTCTTTAGCGTCACGCTCTGCCATTGGGCTAAAGAAATGCCCATCAGTGTTCAGGACGGACCTGGACCAGGATCTCTGTTTCTATTGGCTACGACCAAGCGCGCAGTTAACTCCGATAGGTCGAGGAAGGTGTACGTCCCGACGAGATGATTTTGAATCCCAGTCGCCCCCCTCTTTTTCTTTGTGTGGTTGGCGCGCTTTCCCTGGGCGCTCGGACGGTTTTGATGCCTGTTGGATTTGTTTTTTTGTTTTGTGTTCTTTTCTGTCGTGAGTGTTCAAGCGAGGGAGAAAGCACCTTTGTGTGCCAGAGCCGAGAGGTTTGGTCATCGGCCGCATGGCGCACACACGCGCTCTCGGCCGTTTCTTAAAGTAGCTTCGCAGGCGAAGTGTCCCTCGCCTCGACGGCGACCCTTCGCGGCTTGTGGTGCGAGGGACAGCTGCTCCCGGGCACTGGCCAGGCTCAAGCCACTGTCCCGCATCGTGGAAATCCGAGTGCTTCCGAAAGCAGTGGGCTGAGGGATGCGAGCGCGGAGCTTTTCAATAAAACGCTCCTAGAGGAATTGTTACGGAGGCGATTGTGGCTGTTAATAAACACAGACCTTGGATTTAAAAGAAAAAAGAACGCTGACTTTAATTTTAATGAAAATCAGACATTAATTCTCACCGAAATGGCCCAGCAGTGCCGGCTCCTTCCTGATTGCCCTTTGGCTGGTTTCCATGGAAATCTACACCTGAAATTAAACTGCGCTTTTCGAAAAAAGTGTGTGTGGGATAAGCAGGATTTTTAAAATTTGCGTCTTGGGGGAGTCTAAGTTTTTTAGTTCTTGTTTAAATTCTGTCCTCCTGCTTTACAATTGGAATTAAGTAGCCAGCAGGTGACTGGGGAAGGAAGTGGGTGAAATTGGTCCCCTGCCTCTCAGAACTATTGCCCCTAGGTTTGTTGTCAGATTTTACCCGGTTCTGGTTATATGCTTGGACTTCCCAACACAGATTCACCATTCTACCAGCCCTGAGCCCAGAACACAGACACACTGGGCTCATTGGGGCCCAGCGTGATGGCGTAGCACTCCTCACCTTGAATGCGCCCCGGGATCCCATGTGGGCGCCGGTTCTAATCCCTCTTCTCATCAAGCTCCGTACTTGTGGCCTGGGAAATCGGTTGAGGATGGCCCAAAGCCTTGGGACCCTGCACCCTTGTGGGAGACACAGGAGGCTCTGGGCTCCTGGCTTCAGATAGGCTCAGCTCCAGTCTTTGTGGCTGCTTGGGGAGTAAACCATCAGATGGAAGATTATCCTCTCTGTTTCTCTTTATCTCTGTATATTTGCCTTTCCAATAACAATACATAAATTTTTTAAAAAAGAAGAAAGTAAATAGGAGAATGAAGAATTTCTCCCTAACTCTTCCTTTCAAATAAATAAATAAAATAACTACATCATGATTCAGCTTCCTATCTGCTTGCTCCTGCTTCTTTCTCCTCGCTTCTACAGGAATTGGTCCCAAGATGACTCAACAACAAATGTCCTGGGTAATATTTCCATCCCAGAGTGTCCTTCGTGAGGAACCCAGCATGTGGTAGGAGCCTCTCCAGATGCCTACCCTCTGAGAAAGTTGGGTGACATGGAGAAGCCTTGAGATTGCACAAGAGAGTGAGAGGTGCCCGGGCACTACCTTGCTTGTCCAGCTCCTGCACTGTCTGATTACATCCACACAAGAGAGCCTGAGCAAGAACCAACCAGCTGAGCCCTTCCAGGAATCATAAGGGATAATCAAGCAATCATTATTGCCTTAGCATCTGGATTTGGGATTATTGTGCAGCATCAAAGCAACTCCCCAAGCACATGTTTTTCTGGTCACATCTCATTAGTGCCGTTCCTATGCTGTGATTGACAGCAGATAACCGTTTTGCTTGCACTGTTCTTCCACCTATACCAAAATGATTTTCCCACTTCTGAATTCTCAGCATTTATGAAATGGTCTACTTATTCACCACTTATCCAGTGCGTCCTTGTAATAATCCATATATTCTTCCCAATCACATTGGAATTTCCTAAAAAGACACCAAATCAGTAACTTACCTTTCTCTGACATCACTCTCATGACTGACGTAGACCAAATACTCAAGATGTGTTTAATAATTGGTTATATTTCAAATAATTTATACTTATGTTAAACAAATAGTTTGATACTTTCTTGAGGAATAAATGATGGTGTAGGAATGTGTAATAACTGTAGACTACCCTTCCTTTTAACTTTTTAACTTTCCCTCTTCCAAACTCTTTAATATTCAACTCCATGATAAGTGCCTCTTAAAATTATTCTATGAGGGCCCGGCGCAATGGCGCAATGGTTAAGGTCCTTGCCTTGTATGCTCAGGATCCCATATGGGCGCTGGTTCTAATCCCAGCAGCCCCGCTTCCCATCCAGCTCCCTGCCTCTGGCCCGAGAAAGCAGTCGAGGACGGCCCAAAGCCTTGGGACCCTGCACCCGTGTGGGAGACCTGGAAGAGGCTCCTGGCTTCGGATTGGCTCTGCTCCAGCCGTTGTGGGCCGCCTGGGGAGTGAATCATTGGATGGAAGGTTTTCCTCTCTGTCTCTCCTCTCTGTATATCCGCCTTTCCAATAAAAATAAAATAAATCTTAAAAAAAATTATTCTATGAAATACATGAAGGGCATGGAACAATAGCTCCCTTGGTTAGCTCACCTCCCCTTGAAGGTGCTGGGGTGTCATATAGGTGCTAGCTCATTCCTTTGCTGCTGGACTTCCCATTCTGCTCCCTGCTTGTGGCCTGAGAAAACAGTAGAGGATGGCCCAAAGCATTGGGACCCTGCACCTGCATGGCAGACCTTAAAGAAGTTCCTGGCTCCTGGCTTCACATCAGCACAGGTCTGGCTGTTGCAGCCATTTGGGGAGTGAACCAGCAGAGGGAAGATGTTTTTCTCTGTCTCTTTTTTTGTCTGTAAATCTGCCTTTCCAATGAAACTAGATAAATAATTAAAAAAAAAAAGAAATACTTGAAATTGGTTCTCTTTTTAATCTAAGACAATGCAACTAATATATTTTCTCCATAGTTAATAATGACTCTGAACTAGCAGAGATCATTCCTCATCTCTCTGAGAAATCCTATCCTGATAAACAGTCCAGCAAGGGCCCTATTCTTCCCCTTAGCACCAGGACAGATGATCAATACTCAGAGAAACCTACAATCTAGATGCCCATTGTGCTAATATCTTTCAGGAACCTTCCAGCTCCACATCTTTCAAGGCAAGGTATAATTTTATATTTGTACCAACCCTTCAAGTTAGGGGATTTATAGTTATATGCATTTATTTACAGCTATCTATTGACCTAAAGTGAGTTAAAAGGAATAAAAACTGAATTTAACTGAGTGGCGAGGTAAATTGTCTGCAAAGATGGGCACCTACAATTTCCCCATCCTGTGTTTCCTTGGCACTCCGCCATCAGCAGGTAGAGTCAGTCCATTGCTGCCCCCTTGATCTGTTCATCCTGTGACTCGCTTCCCCTGACAGAATAGAGTGAAAGCTGGTGCTAGGCTTAAACCGGAAGAGACTGGCATTTTCTCTTTTGTTCTTTTGGGAGCCAGTTCTCTGATAAAAATGATTGGCTGTGATGTTGGAGAAAGAGGCTGTTGCATTTCTCATTACAGAGAGACCCTAGAGAATGAAAGACCATGATGGAAGAAGGTGCCCAGGAGCCCAGGCACCAGCTCTGTGACTGAAGCCATTGAGGATGCTCCCACCGCACCAAGCTGCTTTAGCCAACACCATGAAGACTAGAGGGAGATGCTGCAGCACATCCCACCCCAGTCTCAACCTCTGGAGTAACTAAAAAAAAAATGGTTGTTGTTGTTTTGTTTTTAAGATTTATTTTACTTTTACTGCAAAGTCAGATATAAAGAGAGGAGGAGAGACAAAGAGGAAAAGCTTCCATCTGATGATTCACTCCCCCAAAGAGCGCAACGACCGATGCTGCATCTATCTGAAGCCAGGAGCCAGGAACTTCTTCCAGGTCTCCCACATGTGCAGGGTCCTAAGGCTTTGGCCATCCTCGACTGCTTTCCCAGGCCACAAGCAGGGAGCTGGATGGGAAGCAGAGCTGCCAGGATTAGAACTATCACTCATATGGGATCCTGGTGTGTTCAAGGCAAGGACTTTAGCTGCTAGCACACCATCCTGGGTCCGTGGTTTTAAACTACCTGATTTTGAAGTAGTTTGCTAGCAATACGTAGTTAAATATAGAAGGAATACATAACTAGGAGTATACCCAAGGTCCCTATAATTAGTAAGTTAAAACCAAAATGAGCTGATATCGTATGCATATTAGAATGTTTTTTTTGTTTTTTTTTTTTGGTGGTAGTGGTAGGTTGTTTTTTTCTTTTTTTCCTTTTGACTGCCAATATCAAGTGCTGGCAAAAATAAGGAATATCTGAAACTCTCACCCATGCTAGAATGCAAAACGGAACAAAACCCGTAAAAACAGCCTGGCATTCTCTTATAAAGTTAAACACGCATCTACCATCCAGTCTGACACAAGCTATTTACCGCCACCCTGGGAGTCATAAAAACATATGTCCATGCTACCGCCTTACTGAAATGCTTATTATAGTAGCTGTATTTTGTGCTACAAACCAAAAGTAACCCCCATGTTCTTCCATGGGAAATGGATAAATTGTGGTTTGTGGTACACCTACACCCTAGAAGCAAATCCTTGCTATGGGAAAGACTGCTAAATGAAAGATTCAAAAGGTGACACTGTATAATGGTACACATGAGGCATTTTGAGAAAGGTAGAATATTCTGTGAGAGCACAGATCAATACAGTAGTTTCCCAAGGATGCGTGCAGGAAGAGACTACAGCAGGCTGGAGGGAATTGTGGAGTGGGCGGTGGTGATGAAACTGCCCTGAATGTTGATTCT